AGAGAGAGAGAGAGAGAGAGAGAGAGAGAGAGAGAGAGAGAGAGAGAGAGAGAGAGAGAGAGAGAGAGAGAGAGAGCCTCACTCCTCTCCACTTCACTGTACTTGCATATGGATGGTTTCCGAACCCGATACATTCATAACTTCGGACTCGCCTAATTGAACCTGGCCAAGCAAGCATCCAAATGCATGTCGTCTGTGGGGTGGGGAGAGAGAGAGAGAGAGAGAGAGAGAGAGAGAGAGAGAGAGAGGGGGGGGGTCCCTCTCCCCACACTCGTGTTCTCGAATCCCTCCTTCCTCCTCCCCTTTCCCCCCCACACGTTCGCCAACTTCCCCTCTGGCTTTTTGAAAAAAATAACTAAAATATATCAATATCAATCAATCAATCAATCAATCAATCTATCAATCTATCCACCAGCCAAGCAATTAGTCAATCAATCAATGGAATTGAATTGCTTGATTGACTGGTTTATTGGTTGATTTTTTCTTTTTTCTTTTTTTTCTTGTGTGTGTGATTTAGAGAGAGAGAGAGAGAGAGAGAGAGAGAGAGAGAGAGAGAGAGAGAGAGAGAGAGAGAGAGAGAGAGCGTCCGGTATTCCCCCCCCCCTTTTCTTGCATCCTTCCCCCTTCTTTTCCCCCTTCCCCCCCCCCCCCCCCGGCGCGGTCGTGAACTCCCCCTCTGATTGTTGACTTGTTTTTTTTTTCCCTTTTCTTTTTGCTCTAATGTCTGTTCCCCCGAGTCTGTGTACGGTGGGATTCTGTATATGTTTGATTGATATCGCTGTATATGTTTGATTGATATCGCTGTCTGATAAGGTATCACGCGCAATGTCATGTGGAAGCGCGTGGGGAGAGCGACACAGCAGCAGTGCCGCCTATGTGTTTTATTTGGGAGAGCGAGGGGGGGGCGGCGGAGGGGAGAGGGGAGATGGGAGGACCAGCGTTGGTCTAAGCAGAACCAACCACCCACTCCGTGTCGGGAACAGGCTCTGAAGCCGACGAAGCGAATGGACTAAATAGGAGACTTCTAAATAGGAGACTATTGATGTGTTGTCATCATCATCATCCTTATTATCATCATGATCATTATTATCCAAGAATCATTATAACAATCCTCCTGATCATCACCTAATTATCTAACCATCATCATCATCATCATCATCACCATCATCATCATCATCATCCAATCATCATCATCCAATCATCATCATCATCATCATTATCAGCAGCAACACGATATTGAAATCAACATCAGCACCATCATCATCATTCATTTTGCCAACTGCTGTTGGCATACGCGCAGCATTCAGGGATATATATATTTTTAATCTGGCCCGATGGACGACGGATCAGAGGCAAGAGAGAGAGAGAGAGAGAGATAGACGTGGCTGTGGGGAGGTGTAGAAAGTCACGATTCTGCACCTCTCCACAGACCCGTCCAGATTCGGGCCTTAAGTGCCTGAATCTGGATGTGCTCGTGGAGGCGTGCAGAACCACTTCCCGCCTTTGTTGTGTGTGTGTGTGTGTGTGTGTGTGTGTGTGAGAAATAGATAGATAGATAGATATATATATATATATCCTCTTCTCTCTCTCTGCCTACGGTTTACCGGGCAGTTCTGTTTGTGACGATATATATATATATATATATATATATATA